ATAAATTAAAGCAATTATCTAAATTCAAACTTCAGTTCTGTAATACCACTTTTGTAATTTGTAAGAATAAAATAAATCTCAGTAAGATGCATAATTATACATAATCTAATATTTAACTTAACTGTAAAACAAATTCAAGAATAAAATTAATTTCGTAATTTTTTTAATTTGTATTAAATTATAAAATTTCTTGAAACCTTTATATTTTTATAAAAATCCCACATATTTTAAAAAAGATTAGTAACTTTTTATTCAAATTTTACTAATAGACATTTTTATATTGAATCTTTCTTTCATGCCTCATTTTGCTATGTACTCATTCAGTCCAGATTTTTATACAGATTTTATGTCGAGTAGGATATCCACAATAAAGATTAATTAAGGAATTTAAAGACCAAAAATTGTTTTCAAAAAAAACCTAAGGACTTTTAAGTTAATCTAAAACCTAAGTTCTTTTATGAACCGTATAAACCCTGATTTTGACGTACGGGTTCCCTACGATTTAACAGAGAAAAAGTGGATGATTTCCATTTGCAGCTCGCTCTATAAACCCAACAAAGAGACATTTCTGAAGCAAGTAGTGACAGGATATGAAAAATGGATCATTTATAATAATATTTAGCAAAAACGATCTTGGAGAAAGCGGAATGATCCATCTTCAGCCACCCCAAAAGCGGATCTAGAAAGTTATGCTCTCTGTCTGGTGGGATTGCAAAGGGATTCTGCGTTATGAGCTTGTACCAAACAATAAGATGATAAATTCAGCATTCTTTAAAATACTTCTACAAAAATCCTTGCTTTTCTGTATCCAAAATTAGCTGATGAACCCTTTCAGTGTATTTTAATTATAATAGTTATCTGAAAATTCTGGCCCTTCCCTCAAAGCAAGGAAAAAACAAAGTAAATTCAAATTAGAATAATTAGAATAACCTTAAATCAAGAGAATTCTATTTTATTAAAAGAATTGAAAACGAAAGTGAAAAAACAAAGTACTTCAGTGAAAAATTTTAATCCTAATATTTAACTTTCAACAGATAATCCAAAGACTAAAACTTGAGTGAAATTTAAAAAATAGTTGAAAAAAAAAACATAATTAAAACACACAAGAAGTAATTAAGAACTTCAAGCACTCTCATTAGACAACAATCTAAACTATGAGATGCGTAATAAAAGTATGTGCAAGTTTGCCATTTAGCTTCATTGGCAAAACTAAAAACCCTGGTGAGAAAGTAATCGCTCAAAAGGCTAAAATCTGGTACGAAAGATGTAATTTTGAAACCAGAAGAAACACTTTTAAATATTTTAATGAAAATTAATTTTTATTTTAGTTTAAAGAAAAAGATTGCATGATTTTTGAAAGAAATTTATGTAAACTCAGACTCTTTTAAAACAAAAATGGGAATAAAGATTATTATTTAGAGAAAAACTAAAATTATATTTAAAAATCACTTAATCCTTTAAAATACAGACTCAATAAAGTTGCCCAAAAAGTGATAAAAAAGTTTTTGATAATTGCTTTGTAGATATGAGTAAAAAAAACTATAAAGTTGAATTTAGTTTTTTTTAACAATTTAAAATTACATAAAAAGGTTGAAAAGGAAGTAAAGGAACTATGTTAGAAAAGTAAAGTCTTCAGGTCATGGGCTTATCATGGCAACTGAGAATATACACTCACGTTTGTGAAAATTGCAACACCATGAAGGATTTACGCGAGTGAGCTGAAATTTTCAGGAAATGCAAAGTAGCGCATGATATGCAAATGATTAGAATTGCAAATCCGTAGCGCATGCGTATGCTGAGCAGCGCCCTCTGAACGGCTGATGGATCCGAATAAATAGACGGCTGTAGCGAGGCGTGTATGGTTATCGGTGGTTATCTGCTAGTGGTAAACGTTAACTCAATCTGTACTTATGCCTCGTCGACAAAAGAGAGCGAGATTTGAACAACTTACAGAGTTTGAACGAGGGAGAATCATCGGCCTTCGTGAAGCTGCATTGTCGTATCGTGCAGTAGCCTCTCGTGTGCAGCGTAACAGCAGCACAGTGATGCACGTTTGGAAGCAGTGGACGGACGAGTGTCGGACAACTCGGAAATCCGTTAGTGGACCCCGAAATGTGACGTCAGCTCGCGATGATAGACACCTGGTCCGCATGGCGTGGACGGACCGTACAGCTTCCTCTAGACAATTGACAGCACTGTGGTCATAGCTACAGGTGTTTCATTGTTTGCTTCATCAATTCGTAGACGTCTGCTGCAGTGTGGACTGCGCGCACCGGACTCCTTTATACAGGATCCCCCTAACGCACGACCATCGCCGCCTGCGGCTACAATGGGCCAATCGCATAGAGACTGTGTGCTGATTGGCAGCATGTCGTGTTTCTGACGAATCCGCTGTAATTTTGTGGTACCATGATGGCCGCATTCGTGTCAGACACTATGCCGGTGAACGCCACCTTCGGAGTGCATTATCGAACGCCACAGTGGACGAACACCCGGAGTTATGGTCTGGGGCGCCATAGCATATCATAGACGATCTCAATTGCTACGAATTGTGGGCAATCTGAACAGCAACGGTATATCCGTGAAGTTCTACAGCCCTAAGCTGTTCCCTTCCTTCAAAGCTTGCCAGGCGCTGTATTTCAACAGGACAATGCCCGCCCTCATACTGCTCGGATTGTTAAATCCTTCTTTGCAGCGCAGCAGGTACAGCTTCTCCTTGGCCTGCGTGTTCCCCGGATATGTCACCAATTGAACATGTGTGGGATGTCATTGGTCGGCTCTTGCTCGTGATCCTCGTCTGTTGCGTCTGCAGACGAACTTGGGTACGCGTACAAACGATATGGAATGCTCTTCCTCAGTCAGACATTCAAACTTCGTTTGACTCCATGCCACGTCGTGTAGCAGCACTTATGCGGCCCGTGGTGGCCACACAAAATACTATTCTGATCTCTTGTTCTTGTTGTTTGCTTTGAAATTTAATCATTATTTGTACCACTCCACTCAACTGTGTATTAAATTGCATTCAATTGACGATTCCTTCTGGTGTTGCAATTTTCACAAACGTGAGTGTATATAAGGCCAGGTTAATAACAGAATAGTAATTAAAATAAAAAATGATAAAATAAATAAATCCAATATAATCTTTATAACGCCCTTCATTATCCTTCTCTTTGGGAGCTTTCAATGAAATTTATTAATTATGAATTTCAATTTTTGGTCTTTGTGAAAAATTAATTCTAAGTTTCTTACTTTATATACAGTCAAAAGTTGTTAATTCGGACCTCAAAGCTACAAACTTTCTGCGCATGCATCGCCTTGACGCGTCCTTAAGACCTTTACGGCTGCGAATATGTGTATGCGCAAAAACGTTACGAAGCGCGTTTTAAGTATAGTACGGTAAGCTAAGCTAAATATCTAATTCAGTAATGTCAGATTGCGTTGTTCCTTAATCTTCGAATGGATTCGGCTTATTATTTTTTGTAGACTATTCGAGCAATTTTAAAAAGTAAGCTTGAACTTCGATTATGTCAAATAGAATTTTGATATATATTACTAAGTAAAGGATCTACAAGCGAAAGTAGGTTCATGCATCAAACAAAAAAGTGGAAATGCTGCAAAAAGGATAAAGGAATCCTTTGTTCCTAAAATCCGCAATCCGGGGGGGAAGAACGTGCGCAGCAAGATTGGAAGTTGATCTGACAGCACTATCTTATCTTAGAGAGTGTTTTTATTTATTTGGCTTATAATCATTACTAAATGTAGATCATTCTATGTTACTCCGTTTGATATGATTAAATCAAATTCCTCGCATTATAATCGCTTCGATAGTGAGAAAGGACACAGAGGTTATTGAAAACGAAAAAAGTTCGATTGACAAATTAGTCAGTATCTCGACCCGCATTTAGGACTGACAGCGGAAATGTAATGAACAAGAAATTATGTCTGTTTATGCTTAGAGAGAAGTATTATCAATAAAACGAAAGAACTTAAACAACTTGCATGAAATGTTTGAGTAAATGAAAAAAGTAACCAAATAAATATTAACTTTTTTTTTTTTTTTTTTTTGTAAATTTTGACACCTTAGATCATAATTTCTTTATTTCAATAAATTACAGTTTCATATTTTAATTTTATCATTTCGCATGCCATCGACCGATTTAAACTGATGAATATAATCCGGTCTTTGACTGTATATATGTGAAGAGCGAGTAAGAGTGTGAGTGTATATAATTAAATTGATAAGAAAAGGAAAGAAAAATACCTAAAGGCGTAAAGCGCATTTCAACTATCCAATTCATGATATTATACGCAAAACAAAGTTAAAACAACAAAATCTAAGTTAAAACAATAAATTGTGCGTGAAAAAAACCTACAGATTATTTAAAAAGGGGAGGGAACTTATACAACAAAATCAAAATTGGTATGCGAAAAAACCTTAATAATTTATAAAATACTGAGAAATTTTACATAAAAACATGGTCAATCTTCATGGTCTGTTCAAAACTTCAAACAGAACTGAGGGTTTTTTTGGGGAGATGTATAATATGTAGTTTTTTTTCACATACAATTTATTGCTTTAACTTAGATTTTGTTGTTTTAGATGTAATATCAGGATTTAGGTAGTTCAAATGTTCTTTGTGGTTTTAGCTATTTTTTACCTCTCCTTTTCTTATCAATTTATTTTAAAATTTGCACCTCAATGCACAATTTTTGACCAATCTAAGTCTCACATTTTTATGATTTACTACTTATATATATATATATATATTATATATATATATACACTCACTCTGTTACTCGGCTCTGCAAAAAGTAGTTAGTAGAAAGTTTTAGATCACTTTCAGAATAGTTTGTATAGCAAGAGTTTCATTTAATAAAAGTGTTAAGCTAACCAAAATGATTATCAATATGATTCAAAGAATGCATATCATTACACAACAAATTTCATTCTTTTCTAATTTCTATGTCACAGATCACAGCACTGAACTTTTAATATATACCTTTCTCTTTAGTGTAATTAGGTGGATAAAATGCTAAACATATGGTACGACCATCTAAAGCCATTCTTAATATGTTGTTAGCTGCTCGATAAACATCTGGTCGAGCAGTTTTTGCCGTTCGAAATCCCCGTTTGACAGCCCAGGCTGGAATGAAATAAAAAAAATAATTAAAAAAAAGATATATAATCAATTTATGCAAGAATGAATTCATATTTTTGCAACTATCAATACAACCAAATCTGCAAATATTGGTAAAAATTGCATCACTGAAATTTTAAACATAGTAATTATAACAACATATTTTTAAAAGGCTTTCTATATTTGACCCCTTAAAACCTGTTCACCTAATCCTTAACGTCTTCCTCTTTCTCCCTACAAGTAATGACCTTCCTCTTTTTTATGATAAAGCTTTCATAAGTGAACTGTGTGGAAAGATACATAGACTTACCAGTAAGAAATATTTTAAAATATCATTTGTGAAATTAAAAAGTATGAAATATCAATATAATGAGGAAAACTTTTTTTCCTAACATGGGTTCAAAAACAATGTATATAAGAATTAGGGAAAACATATTTATTGGAGAAAATGTGTATTTTAGATATTAAAATATACTTGATTTAAAGAAAATTTAAAAAATAGCACAAAAGTGGTTTAATTGTAATTAAATTTTTATATTTAAAAATAGGACATTAACAGAATTTTCAAAGCCTGATTTTATGATATCACAGTTCTCACCTTTTTATGCCTCTTTTATCAGTGTTAACAAATTATTGAAGGTGTTAACAAACTATTGCATTCCTGAAAGCATTTGTATCGCTTTATCTCTGAAAATGAATTAAGCCTTTCCAGTTCATATCATCACCAGAAAAAGTTAACTTAAAAATTAATTTTTGACATACTTTTACAATTATTGCATACATGTACATAAAAAATGTAAGCTCACGTTTAAGGATTGTCAATAAATGATTTGCTGGACATAACTAATATAAAAGTATGATAAAAACGTAATCCTAAATAAAGTTCAGCATAATACTGTTTTCAAGATATATAAAATACAATGAAACCTCTCATGATCAACATCTCTTATAACGGATCATTATTACTAAAAGTGACCAGTATTTCTAAGAACATAAATAAACATTGGCACTGATTATTACAATATTTTTAAAGGGACCACCTTTGAACATGAATAATTTTCTAACAACAAAGCATCAGTACTCATTATAAATTTCTCTACAAAAACCAATTCTCTAATCAACTGAAAACACACATTAATCACTTCACTATTTCCTCTGAGAAAGATTCAGTGATTTGAAAAGTGTTGTCAGTAGTTTTGAACAATAATTCAAATAATATCAAAAGAACAATGGTCATCTTAAACACCCAAATAATTGCATAAAGTATGGATATATATGTGTGCATGTGTGTTGTATTTAGGATCAAAGCTATGACACATTTCAAATCGACAAGTCTGTTTCAGGGAAAATGGTGAAGCAATCAAACTATTCACTAAAGTAAAATATTTTATACACTAAACTAATGAAGGCTATTATGACTATTTTCACAAATACACACAAAAGCTTAATATTTCATGAATTTTTAATGAACTTTAATTTTTTTCGTCTAAGCATCTGGATTTCAATAATGATCAGTCTATTTTAAAATGCATTTTTCACTCAGCAAAAATGAGAGAAACACTCATTTTCATAAAAATTTAACTAATGGAGCTTTGATAGATAAAAAGATATGTTTATCATTTAAATACCTGTTACGTTTTCTGAATAAAAATTGACTCTAAAGATAAAAAAACTTACACAATTATGTGCTATTATTAACTTAAAGAATGCATGTTAAACTCATTATTATAAACTAGCATACGAAAACATCTACAAGACCATAAAGAAGAATGTCAGGATTGAAACTGAAGGGATGAAAAAATAAAGATGGGAGTCAGAAAACTGACCAGGTGTTCAATTTTTTATATAATGAAATAAAAGAGGCAAAATGATACCTGACAATGCATCCATTTCTAAACTATGGACAGCTATGTAATACAATAGTTTTAATATTATTTAAGATGGGAAATAAAAAGAAAGAAAGAAATGGGCATTCAGATAAAGTTAGAAAATAATAATAATAAAAAAAAAAAAAAAAAAAGTTTCTTAAATATAAGAGCAAGAGCAATTACAAATATATACTCAACCTTCACAAATATCATAAGAGGACCATTTAATTTCTTCTCCAGGTTCAAAAGATTCAAACTCAGGATGCTTTAGTTTCAAAATATTTGGAAGTGAAACACGTTGACCCAAGAATGTAACAGCTGAATATGGTTCTCTAAGTTGAGAAATAGGATAACAGCCCATAAGAACCTATTAAAAATTTAAAAAGTGCATTAAGTATAATATATAAATAAGAAATATTCAGCAATTCCAATGACTATTTAGAACACAACAATGGATTTTTTTTTTTTTTTTAAGGGAAACTACTCTACTTAATGCACAGTGTTCATTCTTGCTAAAGTCTTTTAGTAGCCAAACATTTATGCGTATATACATAAATAAAAACATGAAAATTCTAAAAAACACAAAATTGCTGAAAGCTAATAACCAGGGCCCAGATTTTCATGACCTAAAAATTCACTTACAACACCTTAAAAAATACTATAAATATGTTATTTGCCTATAAACATATACAGAAAAATTGGCATTGATATTTTGTTTCAGAATGACAGAGAGAGTTATGGATGTTGATTGACAAATTGTCTAACTCCCTCAATTGATAAATAAATGCACAAAGTCTCGATGCTTTGGAATATTTTTTTTAGAATTCTTTTGGGCAATATAGCAAGCTAGATGTTCCATCATCAGAGATCTGTTTATTACTCTTAAGATTTTTCCTGCCATGAGACAGATATTTTGTAACCTTTAGCAGAAGGTTGGTGGATTTTTTTTTTTTTTTTTAAATGGTGCCTGACAGAAGACAAATGTACACAAATTTTAAATAAGTCTTTTTCTGACTCTGATGAGAGTGATGATATTTTTGCAGATTTGGAAAATGATAGTGATTCTATTGACTCATTTTGAAATACAAAATTTCAAGATTTGAAAACTTTTAATTTTGTAGGAGTGCCATTATTAATACTGTGAATGTTATCAAAGAAACTATCCTTTTTACAATTTTTTTAACCCACGAACACACACACCAGATATGTCATGCCTGGAGGCATATTCTTTGTCCTTTATCTCAAAACTCCTTTCTTGGAAATGAGCGAAACCTTTTATAGCCGACTTCTAGGTCACATTGTTGAAGCTGGGAAGTCCGTGGAGCGATTCTTTGAATACTATTCTAGGAATTATACCACTGCAGTGAGATCCGCGCGCCTTCTCGCATCTCTCAGATTTTCACCCACACTTTCTTAGTTAGTCAGCATGGCGCTGCATCTAAGTTATGATAAAGAAATAGGAAGGTTGAGAAATATGCTAGAAACCATTTCAACAGATGATGAATCAAACGAGTTATGAAGAAGGAAGATTTAATAGATGAAGAATACAACAGCAATCATAATTCATCAACAGACAGTGATACAGACACTGAATTAGATAGTGAAATAGAAAATCAATCAAATGTGAAAATTATATTGGTAAAATGGCCTGATATGGAAGGAAAACAAATTCCAAATGAATGTTAGGACTATTTCTAAACACATTATCTCCAAAATTCCAGGTAATACTAGTTATTCAAAAGATGCATCAACACATTTGGATTCCTGGTCTCTGCTGATAGAAAGATAGACATGATAGATCAATGTATAAATATTTACATTGATTCTATTCAGGAGCAGTTTGTATGTGAGCACAATGCAAAGAAAACAGATGAATGTGAAATCAAAGCACTTTTGGGACTTTAATATATATGTTGTGTATGGAACTGGAAAGGATATTTTCCACTAGTCCTGCAAGAGATTCCTTTTCCTACTAAGATGCCTTAAGTTTGATGATATCCGAGATCGTCTGAGTAGAAGAGATGTGGCTCCCATAACAGTTTTTTTTGAAAAATTCATTGAGAACTGTCAGAAAGCCTACACTGTTGGTGAATATGTGACAAATGATGAAAAATTAGAACCATTCAGGGGATAATGTTCATTTAGGTAATACATTCAAAAAAAAAAAAACCTGCCAACTATGACACAAAAATATTTGCACTGGTTGATTCCAGAGTGTTTTATACATGGAAAATGGAAATATATGCCTGCCAACAGCCAAAGGGGCTGTTTCAGTTTGATAACAATGCAATCGATATTGTAAAGCATTTGATGGAACCATTGTACAATTCTGGATGGAATTTGACTGTAGATAATTGGCATATGGGATACCAGCTATCTCAGGACCTACTAAGAAAGAAAATAACAGTCGGAACTGTGAGAAAGAATAAGAGAGAAATTCTGCCGGATTTTTCTAATGAAGTAACAGGAAGCATATTCTTCAATTTTTGGTTTCCAGAAAGAAAGGACGTTTGTTTTTTATGCACCAAGGAAAAACAGAAGTGTTGTTCTACAATTAACTATGCACAACAATAATAAAATTGACAAAAACCACTGGAGCACTAAAAACACTGGACATTATTTCATTTTATAATCTAGTCAAAGGAGCAGTAGATATTGTAGATGAAATGAGAGCAGCATATTCTACAGCTAGGGGATCGAAATGGTGGCCAATAGTGATTTTTTTTTCTCGATTTTAAATGTTGCAACAATTAATGTATGAATAATCTTACTTTAAAAAAAAAAAAAAAAACTCAGTTTAGACACAGGCGCTTTTTTTTTCAAATCATAAGGATTGAAGTTAGCGGAAGATTACTCAAATCAATGGCGGCAGCAAATCACACTCCCTTTGATAAAGAAAAAACAATTTAAGGAGATTTCAGTATGGAACCAGCATCCAAAAAGATTAAAAAAAAAAAATTACAGAAGATGCACTGAGTGCCTTAAAAAAAAGGACAGAAAAACACAGTTCATGTGCGAGAAACGTAATATCAGTATTTGTATGGAGCATATTTGTTCAATCTGCCAGAGATGAGCAAAATAATTGTTAAGTACTTCCTTTATTATAGTCTTTAAAATATCCTAAAGTTCATCATCAAGTAGATCAAGTAGATCATAATTTTTCGGGAATTGTTTTTTATGTTAATCCATATTTATACTCATATTTATATCATTAATGCAATTTAAAACATGTTAACTGCTTTCGGGTATGACATACCCAGCACGCCTTCTCGTGTTCATAATTTTGGCACGTATGCTCGTGGGATAATGAAGATCTATTAATACTGTGAATGTTATCGAAGAAACTAACTTTTTTAAATTTTTTTAATGAAGATCTTATAAAATACATTGTAAAAGAAATAAAGCGTTTTGCACAAAATCATCATAGAGATAACCCATCTCCTTTAAAATAGGTAACATTTTCAGACATGACATTTCAGCTAAAGAAAGTGTTTTTTGGTTTGGTTATTTTGAAGGGAATAATAAAAACGCTTAGTATAAAATGTATTTTAACACCAATGAGATGCTTACTACTCCTTTTTTTCAACAAAATCATTTTGAGAGACTCTTTTCTTAACCCCTTGAAATTCTTACATTTTACTTCTCATAGCAATTCAAAGAAATTAGAAAAATTGGGATGAATCATTGAAATTCTACAAAATAAATTTAAAGCCACCTGTGCTGCAAATAAAAATATAGAGAGAGATGAATTACTTTCTGCATGGAGATGATGACTCGCATTTAGCCAATATGTGCCCTCCAAAAGATGTCACTATGGAATAACATGCGAGTCTTCTGTGTTATGCGACATATGGATAGTTACGCGAGTCTTCTGGGCATGGGTGGAACTTTTAAATATACTACGGAAAAGAGACTATGAGCATTGGCACTGGTTCACAAGCAGTAAGAACACAAGCAGTAAGAGCACAAGCAGTAAGAACACTCATCAGCAAATTATCTGAGAAGGGATACAATTTGTACATTGACAGATTTTTTTAATTCCCCATCATTTGCAGAATATTTAGAATTTATAAAGGTTAATTTGCGTTGCTATGAAGAACAGAAAAAAATCAACATGCCGAAGAATTTTCCAAGAAAAGACTTGAAAGAGGAGAAGTAGATGTCATGCAGCATAACAATATCAATGTGATTGTGTTCAAGGAAGGGGAGTATTTGTCTTCACAATAATACACGCACCAGATTTGGCTAATGTGGGAAGAAAAAAAAAGAAAAAAAAAAAAACTGAGTAAGATATTTTGAAGTCTACTTGTACTTTAGATTACAATAAATACATGGGAGGCATTGACCTAGGAGACTCAATCACGATTCATTGTCCACTACTCCAAAAATCTGTAAAGTGGTATAAAAACTGCTCTTTGGACTGATGGAAATTTCACTCATTAATGCCAATGTACTTTACAGCAAAAAATATAGACTAAACACACCTTTATTGGAATTTAAAATGAAAGTCATGGAAAAAAATTTTTAGAACTATGAAAATTAGAGAGCCGAAATAAAGTTCACTGGATGATCACTCTCACCTTTAAAGCTTTCGGGGAGACACTTCCCTACTTTAAATCTAAATAAAAGTGATGAAAAGTGCCACAGATGATGAATAGTTTGGACACAAACAGTCAAATAAATCCTAAAATAGTAGCAGACATTCTATTCTTGTGACATATGCAACGCAGGATTATGAATACATCTATGTTTCAAAGAATATCGTACACTGTCTCCTTTTTGAAATGTTGCTTCCATTTCATTGTTTTCAACCTGGTTTTTTATGAAAGAGAGTTTTATTATTTTTTTTATTTTTAATAATGTGTTGTGTTAAACAAAATCTGTGACTGTTTGGATATTTTTCCATATATATTTATTTGAGGTTAAGGCAAAAATTATACAGTCAAAAGCCTTTAATCCGGTCTCGTCGGGACTTCGGCAATTCCGGATTATAGATATCAGTTTAAATCTGGTAAGATGGCATGCAGAAATTATAAAATTAAAAATATGAAACCATAATTAATGAAATAAAGAGCAATTATGATCTAAAGGGTATCAAAATTTACAAAAAAAAAAAAAAAAAAAAAAAAAAAAGCTTTATATTTATTTGTTTACTTTATTAAACATTTCTTTCAACACACACATGCATAAAGCATACATTATGCACAGTCAAAATTAGAAAATTGCAACCAGAAACTATTTGATGTGTATTCGTGATATTTATAATGACGAGGAATTTGATTTAAATCATATCAGAGTACATCGAGATGAAATACTACATTTAGTAAGGAATTATAAGCCGAATAAAATAAAAACATCTGCCCTGAAGATAAGGATAGTGCTGACAGATCAACTTCCAGTTCATTACCCCTCCCCACAGAGCAGCATGAAATTTATAAACATATTTCAGATTGATTAGAGAATCAAAGGATATGCCTTTATCCATTTTTTGCAGCAATTTCACTTTTTGTTTGATGGACATCGAAACATGCTTTCGCTTTGTAGATCCTTTGGTAGCTCCAGAATCGGAAATTCTTTTTAACATAATTGAAAGTTCAAGCTTACTTTTACAAAATTGCTCTAACAGTCTGGGGGGGGGGGGGGGGGAAAAGATCCAATTCGAAGATTAAGGAACAATGCAATCTGCAACATTAACTGAAATAGATAATTAGATAATTTTAGCTTAGCTTATACTGTCCGTTATACATTAAACGCACATGCGTAAAGGTATTATGCGCATGCGCTAACGCATGCACAGAAAGTTTGTAGCTTTGAGCTCCGGATTATAGATCATTCCGAATTATGCACGTCTGGATTAAAGACTTTTGACTGTATTAGTCTAGAATTGATTATTTTATAAAATTTTTAAGAAAAATATAAAGTTTTAAAATTAATTCTGATAACTACCTGAGAGTTCCTCTCATAACGTACCATAAATTGGAACAGTTGGATGACAAGATTTAATTTATGCAAATTTTTTCCCAGTGCTAGGCTTAACAGCCTTAATTACCCATCCTCACAAGACAATGCATCCAGTTAGCAAGTCATTCCGAGAGAGTGGTTCAGTAACTGAGGTATCAACGTGTTAATGCTGTTTTAAAGGCAAGGATACATTATAGTATCACAGAATGTTCGCAAAATTGGGAGAAACACCTACCATATTTACTTTGGGCCTACCAAGAAGTCCCTAATGATGATTGGTGTCAGCCGTTCCTGATATTTCATGGGAGACGTCTTAATGGCCCCTTATCTATCTTAAAAATGTCATGGACTGATGAAACCCTTATTCCTCATGAACCATTAAGCTCAATAATGATTAAGAACTTTCTGACATTGGCAGGCAACAAACTTATGCATTCTAATAGCCAGAAGTCTCATCATAGAGAATTCAAGAAAGGTGGCATAGTCTTAATCCCTGATGGTGAAACAAAGTACTATATACCACAAAAACATGTCATTCAACTAAACAGAAACTACTTAAAATATGATATGACTACTTAAAATAGTTAAAAACTTTCTTATAAACCTCAGAAATGTACAAAAAAATCTAGGTAATTAATATATATATTATATGCAGTTTTCTGGGAGGGAGTAGACATGGTTGAAAACTGCACTATGATGATATTCCATGAGTAAAACACAGTTTCATTCTGTGATTACTTTCAAAACTTGTACTCAATGGCAGAATTATCTTTTCTTGACTAAATTTACACTTCTTTCAAATTCCAAATTTCCGTGCTTAGAAATTAAAAATAATAATGGTTTTATATGCAGGAATGTTTGTGCAAAATACACATAAAATCAAATCATTGTTTATATTTTGACAGGTTTGCTAGCTAGAGATATCAGATGTATACAGGCTGCACATAAGCTGTCATTTACCATTCAACACCTATAACAATGGACAAATCATTTCCTCCGAACACTTGTTCTTATTTAAATTCTATAAAGCTGATTTCCTGAAATATTTTACTTTTTTATTACTTTTGCGAAATATTTATATATTTCCTTATTACGACTAAAATTATTATTTTAATTCCCAAAATTACTGCAAACACTTGCCCTCACAGCACTATTTTCAATTTCTTTTTTTTCTTTCAGTGAATGACCTTTGACAATGCTCATCTTTCTCAATCTCTTCTCGCCATGAAATTCCTATCTTTATAGCAATATATTTATTTTTACATAAGTCATACTTTAAAGGAACTTTAGGAAACAGCCTTTAGTTAAGCATTATTTTTGAAAATTTTAAAACACAACTGGATCAAAGATATATCATAATCTAGAAATTAACCCAGAAAGATCATCTATTAATACTACTTTTAGAAATTTAATAAAGTTACCTGAACTGGCTTAGGAATTAAAGATGGAAATACTAGTCCTGGACAATCGCACAACCTCACATTTTTTGTCAACATAATTGTTTGATAATGCTTAGTATGACCTGGAGTTCTTGAAACACTTACAACCTGAAACAAAAGATTATTTATTAACATGTACATTAAAAAATTTTTATATTCATTAAAGTTTTATCAAAACTGCACGTTTTGAACATTATTAGGATAAAAATAGCATTAATTTCTGCTACCTCATTATTTACACAAAAATGAAATGACACTTCAGTACATGAAAATATACTACTACTTATCTATTCAATATGTATTACAATGTGAATATAAAATTTCAATTCATTTTTGTGAAACTGCAAACAATTTTTTACTGGTTTGAAACACAATTAAGAACCCAGAATTGTTTTAGTTTACATGGATCAACAAAGCTAGAAGTACAAATAGACTGGAATGGATTAATTTATTGATTGTGACAAAGAATACTACAGCTATGTGCAGGAAGAAAGGAAAATTAACAAAGAACCCAATGCAGATTTCTGGTGTTTCATGGCTTTAACCACTTGGATATCGGTGGACAAGAAATATAGGTAAATTTACCTACACATTAAAAAAAAAAAAAAAAAAAAAAAAAAAAAAAAAAAAAAAAAAAAAAAATTGCCTTTGAAAGCTAATATTAGATAATATCAGCTTGATCAGACTTTTCACAAATTCAAATGAATAATCAGTGTGCAAGTTCAAAAACATGCTAGGATATCTAGCATACTATATGCTATAGTCTAGTATGTAAAGTCTGCAACAACAGGGGATCTAGACTTACCAGGAGCTCAAGGATTTCATAAAGACAGCATGGAAGATCCTTAATTGTAATTCGATGAAATCTGGATGTTGAATATGTTAAGTGGAGGAGGATGTGATCTTATTGAAGAGAATTTAATAGGATGTACCCTGCTTAGCAATAAAAATACATTTCAAGTATGCATACTAATAAACAGATATTATTGCATAGTGTGGACAGATAATCAAATGAATTTCACTCTTATAACTGGAAAGCATAAAGCCAGGATCTAAGGTCTATTTATATTAGTTAAATAGACTGCTATAGGAAAGGAACAGTACAATATTCCAAAGAATTCCACTGAGCTACATTTGGTATCAGATGCAATTTTTGGATTTCTTGGATTTGTGTTTTTCAGAAGTATAAAATACCATGGTATAAAAAAAAAGTAGACTGCCATAAAATTCTTTAATTAATGCAGTATTAGTAAATGTTTTTTTTTCCAAAGATGATAAATGATTTAAAAGATAGTAGTAACTAAATTTCTGAAAAAAAAAAAAAAAAAGAGAGGGGGCATATATCCTTTTTTTATTGTGTCACAAAATTAATAACTTAATAACTTAATTCCAAATTTTATATGTTATATTTTTTGCAATCTGAAAAGAATTCATTCGAATATACAAAGGAGACAAAACGCAACCATTCCCAAATTTTTTAGCCTCTATGGAACAGGACTAATTCCCATTGATAAGTCAGCACTCTTCCAGGGGATCATCAATAATTTACTTTAATTTTTTTATGTATGTACTTTTCTATTTTTATCTTTTAACTGCATGTTTCTGATGATTACATTAGAAATTAAATTTCTAAGTTTATTACATATTTTTAACAGTTTTATCTCACCTCTTCTTAAGAATTAAAAATTAATAAATTCCATTTGCAATATTTTTTACTCTTCATTTTCCAAGAGATAATCATAAATAAAAAATTAATAATGAAATTTACATTTATAGCAATAGCACTAGATTTTTACCTTTAAAGTTTATTTACATCAGTGTTTCCCAGCCTTTTATGTGCTATGCCCCACTAAATTCTCTCTAAAATTCATATGCTCCCCCCAGCATATACATAATTTTTAATGTTAAAAAATTGAAGTGTCCATGAAAGAAAATTGAATGATCGGTTTAAGGAAGAAATCACTTGGAAGTTTTGTGGCCAAACATAGTAAGTAAACCTTCAAAACATATAAGAGAACTGAAATTCAAGTATAAAATAATTTTAACAAAAGCTTTTTCTATGTTATTTTAAGTATTAGTAATTATTTATTATTTTAATTTAGTGAGATCCTTGTGCTTGATGCTTGCTGCAAAAAGATTTTATGTCAGGTTGCAATTTAGTTAACTACAGTTTCAAGTCTCCCCATTTTTACTACAGCCAACCAATTTCTTTTTTCAGCAGCAAAGCATTTATGGCACTATGTCTGCAATCAACTAAATATGAAGATTGAAACAGCCATTGTTACCATTCAAGGGAAGAAAACTATAGCTGGTCCCGTTCCTACAGTAAAAAATCTGATGTGTACACCACATGACTTCCTTGTACGGAATATTAAATTATACAATTTTTTTCTTGCATTTTATTTAAACTTATTAGATTGAATTAAAACTACTTTGCGAAAGCCTAACCACAATAGAAGAAAAATGCATTCTTTAAAATTCACTTTGTTACCATAGCAAAACTCTGGCGCTAGGTTTACTTAACATTATATATTTCATCATATTATAACTCATGCCAAAATGTATATCATTTAAATTATTTAAATTATTTAAATTAGAATTATCTAATCGTGCCACATGTTCTATTCAAATACTTAATAAAGTAGATATGTTAAAAGAAATTACAATAAAACAAAAAAGAAACAGTTTTTTCATAGAGATTGAGTATTTCTCAGTTAATTAATTCGTTCTCACTTCGCTAGAAGCGGAAATACATAAAACTCAAATATTTATATTAAAAAAACGAAGTAAATCTCAAAACTTATTTTCCTCGAAAAAATTCCAGAAGAATTAAGCATGATTAATTGGCAATAAAAGAATGTGTTATCTTGTTGTTGTGAGCTTGCACACACAGATTTACTAAAAGCCATAAAATCCTAACCGGAAGATAAAACAATATAATCAGTCATTTAAAGAAAAAAAAATGTAAATTTACAAACATATAAATAAAGAAACTGAGATCACTAGCGGGAATAGAGTGGATATTATATATATAAAGAGGTTCATAAGAATAAATTGAGTTTAATTAAAAAATTAAATTTAAATACATATTTAATTAAATATTCTTTGCGCCATTGGCTGCCAAGGAACTCTACGATCATTCCATATGCATTTTTAAAAAATTGTTAATTAATTTTAATTTATTAAATTAGTAATTTATTTTCTGGATAGATTTTGCACTTGATTTGCTTAGTTCTGAATTAAAGATATTGTAGATTAGTTCGAGAAGAAATCTTTTACATGTTTGCATATTTTAAAATTATTTTGGCTTTTTTTTTTTTTTTAAATTTAAATTGCTTTTTACTTTTATACGTATTTGTTAAGAATTTAAATTGTTTAAATAATAAATTTTTTATACGTTGGGCGGTCGATTGCAACCAAATAACGAGGTGCCACATCTACAGGTTATAGCGTCCTATATACAAAATTTCACGTTCTGAGGCTACTCATTTTTGAGTTATGCGAGGAACGTACGTATGTACGTACATACGTTCGTACAGACGCCACGAAAAATTGTCTTCAGAATTAATTTTAAAGCAGTTTTATAATTTTTTTGAAGGAAAAGAGTATTTTATTCTGTCCTTACATACAGATATCATGCAAAAACATCGGTAAATTGCATTCAATAGCAGTCAAAATGGATATTTTCATTGAAATATTCTGCCTGAAACTTTTGCGATTACAATACTTCCTTTTTACTTCGTACAAGGAAGTAAAAATAAAACATGCGCCTGACATGCGTAAAAAATATCTGGAAAGCGTAATGGGTCAGCTATTTAAATGCCCTTTAAAAGCATTTAAATGTCCATGTCTATAGTGAAAATTATTTATAAAATATTTAAAATGCACCACAATTTAAAAACTTTTTTTACGTATACATCACTTACGTTTTTCTTTATTTTGGGGAATAAAAAATAAAATTTCGACTCTTGAAGAATTTGAACGTCCCTTGTCCCCTTAAACTCGAGAAGGGGACAAGGGACGTTCCAATTGCCCCCTTAACAATCAAATTGCTCCCCTGTGGGGTGTGGGTCCCACGTTGGGAAACACTTGATTTACATCTTTAATATTTGCTTATTTACTTTTTAACTATATATATATATATATGTCATAATAAAAGCACAAGGAAAAGACGGAACACTGTAGATGCGTGATTAGACCCATACTGAAGAAGAATTTGATTGCGTAGTATGCTAGTAATGCTAACTTGGTAATATCTAAAGAACTTGGCAGTCGAAGCAGTTTTAATTCCATTTTTATTTCCAATTGATATTTGTGGCCACAATCACTTAGCACTCTAGTCATGCCTTTCCACAGAAGATTTACATTTTGGATATTGTTGAGATAGAAAGCAAGCCAGCGCAATTATATGAAAGCAAGCCAGCGAAATTACATCTTAGCACAGCAGAGAGCAAAAGCTGAAGTGCGTAGTTATGAAAGATAGAAGCACGCGAAGAGAAAAGTTTTGCTTTACAATTCGGTGATTGGTCGTCAAGAGGCATCTGGTATTAACGGTTACGTAAGATCGCATGATTAATTTGAATGACGCAATGCAGATAAGTTATTACGATTTTAGAGAGGAAGAATTAATGTTTATAGTTGTATTATAATTCTGATTCATAGCTTTTTATCTTACACACACACACACACACCACACACACACATATATATATATATATAACAGTGTGGATGTTCATTAATTCGAACTCAAAGGTTCTCAGAAAAGATTCCGAATTATTATATTCCAAATCTTCATTAAGAGAAAATTTAACTTTAAAAGTGTATTACTGAAGAATAAAAATCTCCTAGTATGTATAACACCCAAAAATAAATTACAATATGCAATCTAAAATTAAACATATTAAAAAGCAATAAACATTTACCTTAATCATAAATTGAAGCAGAAGATATGCAGTAGAAAGTAAACTTTTAATTAAAAATATGAATAACACTTTGGGGAAAAATGTAAAATGGATGTTTGGTTTTGTTTATTATGTCTACATTTTTCAGCCAGTTTCTCGATTTGAAGTAAACATTTCATTTTTAGAAGAAGTTTCAATCTGATTAAATGCTTTCAGAGTTTCAGAGTCCATTCTGGTTTGATCATTAGGATGATTAACAGTCTCTGCATTCTCTTCTAAATCCGATAAGGTCTTTTCTTTTTCATCTTCTTGGATAGTTTTTATTGTGTCATCATCACTCAGTTTTCCACCGACTTCCAAATCTTCATCTAGATAATCAGAAAAAGTAACGTTATCATATTTAAATTTTTTGAATTCAGGAAAAGCTAGCTGCATCAATATCGTCACACTCTTTGATATGACTGTTCTCTTCAGCATGCGTGAATTTTAGCATGACAAAAACAATTACTAATTGTACTTTCTTTAACAGCATTTAATTTATTTTTCAGACTCACCATCGTACCCTTGTTTGGTCAAGAGTTGGCATTTGGTGGTTTGGGAGGGATTGAATCGGTTCTTCATCCAATTGGGATGTTTTAACAATTTAACCGACCCCCTGAATTTATGGGATCTTTTACTTATACTATGTATTTGGTGGCAGTTTGGGATCTTATCTACTTATTTACTATTACAACCCTTACATGGGAATAATTATTTAAAACCTTTGTTTTAAATGTTCAAAAGGCGGAACATTAATGGGCAACATCGTCTAAACTCTTTTCCTTCTTTTTTTTTTTTTTTTTTAATAAGAAGAAAGCACCAACATTGTTCTTTAACAGCATCTCATGCGGCATATAGATCATTTACAGCTCTCAGCAGAGTAATGTCATACTTTTCAACACTATTTAAAGAAATATATTTATTGTAAGTCTCTTATGATAATTTGTTTCAAGATTCTAGATGATACTTTGAATCACTGGTTATAGCTTTACTGTGGCAGGTTGCATTATCCACAAATAACAGAATTATATGCTTTTCCCTCGAAAACTGCTTATATATTTCTTTTAACCAGTCACTGAAGATGTCTCGTGTTATCCATGCTTCTATATTAGATATATTGGATACATAATCAAATGGCAGTGCGCAAATTCCTTTAAAACACAGTAGATTCTTGGATTTTGAAATTACTAATAATTTAAGCTTTTCGTTCCCATCCATATTAGCACAAACTAAAGCTGTAATTCTTTGTTTACTGCTTTTATCTCTTACACAAGCATCACCTTTTAAACGTAATGTCTTGTTTGGCAAGAGTTTATAAAAAAAATGCAGTTTCATCCACACTGAAAATATCTTTCGACAGGTAAGTAGAGAAAAGCCCTGGCAGTTTCCTATTGAAATTAGTGCATACGTCTTCATTTGCATCAAATCTTTGGTCACATACAGTTTGATACGGAATATTATGCCTTGACTTACTCAAGAAAGCCATTTATCACTGCATTTAAAATCTTCAGTATCCATTCAACTTGCCAATTCATCAGCCTTCATCTGCAATAGGGGTCCATTTACCAGAAAATTTCGAGATCTAGCCTCCTGGAATCATAGTAGTAGAGCTTTTTCTAGATCTTCTTTGGAAGCATTTCTCATATGTATCCTTCCTCTAACAAATTTTGATTTTCCTCATGAATCTAAAATTGATTCCTTGTTTTTCAAATAAGTTGATAAGATATTTTTTTTAATTCCATATTCAACTGCTAACTTTGTTTTACATTCAGCATTCTCTACTTTCTTTAGAATTTTTATTTTTAACTCCAAAGTTAGAATTTTATATTTTCCACATGTAGACATCCTGAATTTTTACACACCACACCCAGGAAGAATACTAGAGCACATTAACTTGTCTGCACTGCAGACATAACTGACATACACTGCATACTGAGGAAGAAAAACTCGAGCACATTAATTTGTCTGCACTTCAGACATAACTGACACAGCTCTCTAGAATCTGTGGTAGATTGGTTTTCTGAAATTCTAAGAAAATTGATAACAAATAAACAAATGATTCTCCCCTATCCTGACCCATTCATAAAGGGTTCTGAATGAATTCAAGGAAACAGGTTAGATGAGAGAGCTTTGTCCATTATGCACTGGTAAAAGGTAAGTAGCCACTAACATTTAGCAGAAATGCAACAGTCTAGGAATGCAGGCTTGTGCCTCTTTAGACAGAAAAGAAATACACATGATTTTGACACATAAAATAATAAATACAGTATGTATTTTTTTCTCTTTAAACAAGGAAAAAATTTTTTTGTCAAATTTTTAGCTTGAATTAATCGAAGCGATAAAAATTAAGTTTTGAATTATTGAGATATTTTTAACATTAATTCCAATACAAGTTTTTTTTGGGGAAGGTGGGTTGGATTAGTTCCAATTAACTGAATTCGAATTAACAGGCATCTACTGTATATGTATTCAACTATCTTCCTTTCAACATCTAATCCTCTGCGATTATTTTTTCTTCCCTAAACTAAAATTGCTTCTCAAAAAGTCTTTTTTACCCCTTGACACTGAAGACATCCAATGAACTGCAGTCTTTTTCCACAAAAAAGAGAAATTTTGTTATTTAATTTTTGCACTGTTACATTATACACAAGAACATTTCTGAACATATAAAGTTAATTTTTCATAAAATATGCAAAACAATAATACCATAATTCAAATATAGAAAACATCTATTTTTTAAAGCACCCAGATGTACTACATGTAATTATTTAACAAATGCTTTACAATTAAAAACAAATACTTTATCTTCTTTGTTATCTAACACTTGTTCTGTTAATTCTAAAAAAGTTGCAGATTCATTGTAAATGAAAACAGAAAACTGATAAAATTATAAATAAATAAAACTATGTCGATATATTTAATATCATATATTCAAATACAGAATTTATGTACATGCATTATCTATCTATACACTGTTTTACAAATATCATTTTATTTGTGTGCTAATTAAAAAAAGGTACAGTTATTTTGTTAAATCCAAAAGTTTTATTTTTATAGAGAAATAGTTACCACTAGAAAACAATAAGTAATAATCTTACTTTTTTGCCACAAACAGCATTCAAAAAAGAAGATTTTCCAACATTTGGATGGCCTGAAAAAAATATTTTTGCATTAGTAATTTTCTCCAAAATGTTTTCAATTATGTTATAAAATAAATTCTTGTTAAGATATGCTTTCAAGAATGAAGAAATAAATTCCTGCTGGCAGTGGTCTTTGATACTTATTAGTTTACACCTAATCCTTGTCTGCAACAGGTGCATGCTGTGAAATGCTAATTATTTGCATATCCCAGCATGTTCTACTTTTTATGCAAATTTCAAGTTTAGTGTGTGTTTCTTTCCTGATATAGCAATTTAATGACTTGACAGTACATATTTTGTCATAAAACATTATATATCATTGCAGAAATTAAAACAACAAAATAGATTTTGTACAAATAAATGTTCATGCTACTTGCACAAGATTTCTGCTCTTAAAAACATACAATAAAAAGATTGAATTTACATAAGTATCAGTGTTTAAAAACTGAAATATTTTTTAGAGAGAGAAAGAGGGGAAAAACGAGCATGTCTATATTTCATATTACCATTAACTGTTTTATTTTTTTTAAAATCTTTTACACATAATTCAAAATAACTGCTATTCTTAAATTTAATTAAACACTTTGATATTTTTTTCAATAGTCAAAAATAATTAAAAGAACCTAGTCCACCCCCTTTTTTTGCCTATAACTAGAAATTTATTTCATAAAGCACTTAAAGACTTTACATGAGCATTATAAGCATAAGATTTCAAGAAAATAAAATGTTTAGAAGAAACTATAAGCATATCAGATTTGTTAATTATTTGTTAATGATTTCTCATAATTCAAATCTACTTATTTTAGGATGTTTATATGGTTAAATATAAACTGCACAGAAACAAAGGAAATTTCAATACTAAAATAATTTTAACATCTAAGAATTTGAAACTTACCAACAAATCCAATAGTCAGGATATTATCTCGATAATATTCACCTTGATAAGGACTTGTATCATTAACATTTTCCTCAGATTTTCCTTTAAAGTGCCTTATTTCATCCTCCCCTTCTTCAAATTCAGAATCAGAATCAACATATGTATCACCACTCGAGCCTATTTGAGCAGCTTCACTATTAATTTTTTCTTTCCAACTTGAAAGGTCAACTAAAATAGTAAGAGATACATGTACTACATGAACATTACCATCCTGCACAAATTAATCAAAGCAGTAAGATAAAAACAAAACTATGATTGCTCCACATTAAAAAAAATAGACAAAAAATATTTAAAAAATCTGAAGCTTTCAGATTTTATATTACACCCAAAGGGGTATTTTTTATTTGCACACATATACATTTGGACTTTCTTTCTTTTCACTGACAGTGAGGCAGCTGGTCCACTGGGTAGTTAGCATATCGGCTAGGTAGCCCCGCTGACAGAAATAACTTGAACAACAACAACAACAAAAAAAAAAAAAAAAAAAAAAAAAAAACACTTATAAATATATATTGTGCTCAAGATGACTGCTGGGGGCAGTGCAAACAAATGCTGGACGAAGACGATAGTGCATGATGGAAGAAGGGTGCATTGCGGGTGAGAAGAACAATTTCAGTTACATATTTACAGAGTTATGGATAGGTGGTTACAAATACTAAAAGTAATAAGAAGTAAAATACTAGAAAGTAAAACAATACATAAAATTTAAAAAAAAAAGGCAAAACAGTGGAAACAATACATAAAATAAGGCAAAATACATAGTTCAAGGTTCATAATTCAAGGTTTACAGTTCAAGGAGATAAATATATACAGGGAATAAGAAAAGCCGAATAAGCTAACTTAAGATAAAATTAGTTCACTACAGATACAGAGCATACAGGGGCTGTGCTGGTGACGAGGATGGTGGCTGAGAATTACTCCAGCCTGTCTGAGATTTTGCGTGCAATGTTTATGCAATCGCATATGAGTTTCAATGCATTGCGATTTTTTGAAGTAGCTTTGGCCCATGCATGGATGTGGTTTGCTACTAGTTGCCTAAGATGATATTTGGCGGTCTCTCTGCAAACGAACATATAGTGGTCCGGATCTCCTACCATCCCGCATTAGCAATGCTCGTTTTCGCGTCGTCTGAAGCGATGCAGGTAAGTCATGAAGGAACCATGTCCTGTTAGATACTGAGTGAAGTGAGACAAGCCAGATTTTAGAAGCCGGCAGACTTTTGGAAAAAAACTAAAAATATTTAAAAATAGCATATCTTTAGAATTTCTGATAGACGGTTTGTGCTCTGGAGATAAATTTTTTTTTCCATACAGTGTTGCCATTCCTCGCTTTGAAATTATTGAGTTTTTTAATCAATAATTCATTAAAGTTTTATAAAATATGAAATAGACAATAAAACAAATTTCAAATTCAGGCTTCCAGGTGCCTACATTCGAGTGGAGGACTACATTTTTCAAAATTTGATGGCTGTAGATACCATTGTTTCTTCACAGTGTGAGAAATACACATACATTCATGCAGATTCTTCATTCTATAATTTTTTTAATATAATACAAGACAATAATGTTTGGTGACAACAATTTGAGAAGTAAAACGGACATTTAAAGTGAACTGATGCAAAATGCCATTTCGAGACTAATATTCCTTCTGGGCTAACGCCGCTTTGGGCTTTAAAAAAAAAAAAAAAAAAAAAAAAAAAAAAAAAAAAAAAAACTTACCACTTTGAAAGAATGTAAAATTTGATACTAATCTAGTTACATTACTGATAAAATAAAATAATGAAATAAACTCCAGAGGCAAAAGTAATGTTCTAATATTTATTCTCACTAAAAAAAATTATGTTACAAATTGCTCCCAATTAAAAAAAAAAGAGAGCAATTTTTAAAAAATACAGATTTTGTGTTGACATTTTTACCTTATTGCAAATATATATCACCCATTTTTCTTTCATTTTCATAAAAAAAGTTGTTCTCAGCACTTTCTGATCATCGACAATTCTGGTTTGACATATTCTTGAGTTGTACACCCGATAGCAATCAATCACGTGTGCATAAACCTCACATATATTTGAGTACAGGTTCACATGCATTATATATAATTTTACTTTGGCACAAAGAAAGCCTGATATCAGCACAGCTCTCATGGTGCTCAATAGTGCATGGATAGAAACATCACAAGCAAGCTCAAAGGCAATGCAACTCTGTCTTAACTATATTTAGAGTGCATATTCAGTCTAACTGACAATTCAACCAATAATATTATTGCAATTCTTGCTATTCTAATAAACCTGAATAAACACTATTATTTTTTTCCAAAAACTTAATTTTTTTTTTTACTTTAACTTAGTTATTCAATTAAAGCATATGGGATTAATTTTCTGCAGCATTTTGTGGCTGCGAATCACTGAATCCAGTCACTGACAGTTAATAAATTTTTACTTATTTATTTTAACAAACACACATACATGCAAGCACTTAAGTATGTGGAAGCTTTGATCTTCTTATATATATATATAGAGAGAGAGAGAGAGAGAGTATTTCCCAGGTCTGTAAAAATAAAAAAGCTCACTAACAGACAAAAAACTTAAAACTGCCAATAAATTGCATTATAATAAATTTCCTTTTTGTATTCACTTCCAAAATTTCATAAAAATCCAATCAAATTCGCATTATAGCTAATGGAGAAAATTAAAAAAAAAAAAAAAAAAAAAAAAAAATTGTCCTGAGGTCCAGAAATAAAACTAATACCGAGTTGCATAACAACTGGATTATCAACAATAATCACATGGTTATTAAAAATCACTAACAAACAGCAAACTTAGAATATTAACTAATACAGTTTTGAGAACTTATACGTCACCTTGCCACTTAATGAAATTTACAATAGTTTAATTGAGCTCCATCACCTATTTCCCAGCATTAAAACCTTAGCTGATTTCAATAAAAAATCTGATGTGTACACCACATGACTTCCTTGTATGGAATATTAAATTATACGCATTTTTTCTTGCATTTTATTTAACCTTATTAGATTGAATTAAACCTACTTCGCCGAAAGCGCATACACCACAATAGAATAAATGCATTCTTTAAAATTCACTTTGTTTACCATAGCGACACTCTGGTGCTAGGTTTACTTAACAGTATTATATTTCATTCATATTATAACTCAGAATGCACAAAATGTATATCATTTAAGGAATTATCTAATCGTTGCCACATGTTCTATTCAAATACTATAACAAAGCTAGAACGATGTATAAAAGAAATTAAGCAAACAAAACAAAAAAAGAAACAGTTTTTCACAGACGATTGAGTATTTCTCATTTAATTAATTCAGTTCTCAATTCGCGAGAAGGCAAAAATACATAAAAACTCAAAATATCTATATTAAAAATTACGAAGTAAATCTCAAACGCTTATTTCCTCGAAAAAATTCCAGAAAGAATTAAGCATGATTTAATTGGCAATAATAAATGAATGCGTTATCTTTGTTGTTGCGAAGCTAAGTTTCTCTAGATTGGCAACAAATCCACTAGTCTCCTGTTTCAAATGTAAACATCAATGGCCGCCATTAAAAAACAGGCTTAGCGGCAATTAAACAACTTTAAAATTGCTGATAATTCTAAAAATATGGCACACAGATTTACTAAAGGCATAAAATCCTTAACCGGAAGATAAAAACAACATAATTCAATCATTTTTAAAGCAAAAAAAGTACAATTTACAAACATATAAGAGTAAAGAAACTGAGATCACCGAGCCGGGTAATAGAGTGGATTGAGAAACAAATTAAGATGGAAATGTAGTGTGATTCACTAAAGAGTGATTCTGTCTGCGCACTGTATTGTCTTTTTATCCGCGAAGCTAGTGTAGGCGCAATATATATATAAATATATTTATATACGTTTGGTGCGGCCGATTGCAACCAAAATACGAAGTGCACATCTATATGTTATAGCAGTCCTATATACAAAATTTCAACGTTCTGAGTTTACTCGTTTTTGAGTTATGCGAGATACGCACGAACGCACGTACGTACATAAGTTCGTACAGACACCACGAAAAATTCTCTTCAGAATTAATTTAAAAACATTTTTATAATTTTTTTGAAGGAAAAGAGTATTTTATTCTGTCCTTACGTACAGATATCACGCAAAAACATCGTTAAATTGCATTCGATAGCGATCAAAATGGATATTTTCGTTGAAATATGCTGCCTGAAACTTTTCGCGATTACAATACTTCCTTTTTACTTTGTACAAGGAAGTAATAGGGGTCTAATTTGAAATGCATACTTCTCCACAATTTTATTAAATATTAAAATAATTTTTTTCTACATATAAGTAAATGGTATTCCTATGGGTACTAACTATTCAACTTCCTGTTCCTCTTCATTAAGTCTGTAACCTACAAGTACCATACTGTAACCTGTTCCTCTTCATTAAGGAATATAATTGTATTAAAAATTACCATAAACCAGAACTTTTAATGCTGGCAAGACACTGAAAATGCATCATATATGTTCATCCAAAGATCTCCAACAGCATTATTTTTTGCGTTATATCATTCTTATATGAATATTTTTGGGTTGTGGAATAAACCACGAGTTTTCCTTATTTCTTATGGGGAATTTTTGCTTTGATATTCAAGTACTTTGGATTGTAAGCACATCTCTGGAACAAATTATCCTAGAAAAACAAAGTACATCTGGAGAAGGCTGACAGGATGCAGTTTGCCTTCTTAGTGCATATTTTGCATATGCTACTGAATACATATTCATGGTCATTCTAAACAATGGATATCTTTACTTTGGAGAAATTTATATACCAACTTCATTCTATAAGAATAAGCATTATTATCTTTGAGTATAAAATCCTGAACAAAATTATCTTTGGAGTTACAGTATTTTGCCATGGTACCACTGCCATCAAACTGATCTTTTTCCCTGATAGTTTTGAGATTGTTACAGATTCTTTATTTTTTTCTACAGAACAATTTGACAAGTATCAGTCTATAAATTGAATTTAGACTCATCAGTATTGAGCAAGTGCACAAGTTTTTCAGGTTCAGATATATTTATTTCATTTTACATTTCCGATTACAGTTTAAATAGGTTTCTCTCTTACTAGATTGGTGCAGAATATGAATTGATAAATAACAAGAACAGAAATTAGCTGTGCAGAGCCACTAGTACATAACTTGTATAAAAACACTTATTCCTGTTATGGCTGTAAGCTCTGCATAGAATTGCTAACAGACATTTGAGAAGTTATGCCGTACAGACCTTGTCAATCTTCATGCAATACAGTTTCCCTTGCTAAAGTGTTTTTGTGGTTAAACAATCTCTAAATACTAGTTGGCTTTTAACCTTCTTCCATCTCTTGGATCTTCTGCAGATCCTGAAGAAAACTTCATCAATATACTTCATCTCCAGTACATTGATGAAGATTCAATGTACTGGAGACTCCAGTCAAAAATAATTCTGTTTTAAATCATATGATTATTTTGTGCTGCATACATGGCTACTGGCTTTTTTATGTCACATAAAGTTATTGATTAGACATAATATCAACTTTTCCCATGAAGATTGCAAGAAAATGTCATTTGTGATATGGTAAGCTGCATCTATTAAACTATGATATACTACATTAATTCTTTGATTTTTAAGGTGCACTTTTGCTCTACTTAAATATTTCTTAAAACAGAATACTTCTAAGAATTGTAGTCCTCCATTTCAATCACTGGAATAGATACCAATAGTTTTATCCCAGAAATTGAATTTAAAAAAAGTTGCATTAGCAATTCAATGGTTCAGAAGATTGTGATTCACTACGATAAAATGAAAGCTATGTTGGCTCAGAAAAATTATACTTTTCACAGAAAAGAGATGGTGAAGATGGAGGGAATGATTAAATATTTTTCATAAGCAAGCACAGTTATTATTAACGTATAGAATTCCTTTAAAGTATAAGTATTTGTTGGATATAATATAGAACATTTTCACTCATTCTTATAATCATAATTTTTTTAATTAAGATGATACTGAAATTAAAAACTGTGCTTTACAGCTGATAATATCCAAGAAATAAAATAAATTATTTATGCTCTCATTTAACATAAATAGAAATATTTATTTAATTATATTTGGAAATTTGGAGACTGGTTTAGGTGTGCCTGCTTACCTTTTGAAACCTATTTACATAGAAAAATTTCTGAAGATCTGTTTCTTTTGTGCAGAGAGAAATCTAGACATTATATTTATAAATATTTCCCAGTGTAATTATTCAGATATTAAATATTTTATCATACTATGCATCAAGAAAGATTGAAACATGATCTGCATACTGTTCTAGGACAGTGCTCCGCAACCGGTGTGCTGCGGCACACTGGTGTGCCATGAGTAGGATATAGGTGTGCCGCAATCAAATACATGTATTTGACATTTTGCAATTTTTTATCATGTATTTAATACACAATGACAATTTTTTTTCCTTAATAATGTCTATTTTAAATGTTTTTATATATTTCACTGTTGTGTGGTTGTGTGTGTGATTGTAAGCGTGTCAGCATTTGAATTTTTTCGGCACTTCCTTGATAACTCGGAACTCTTTGGTGTGTCACGAAATTCCAGAAAGATTTTTTGTGCGTCGCAGGTGAGAAAAGGTTGCAGAGCACTGTTCTAGGATACTGTAATAATCACATATAAAATCAGTTAACATGAAATTGACAGTTGGTAAAGGAAAATGCAAAAAAATAACAAACTTTCTAACATAACTAACTCTATTTTTAAAACTAAGCTGCATAATTAAGCAATGCACGTTTAGAGCTACTGTTTAAATATGCAACTTTAATCAAATTATCTGTGATCTGTACACTTTAAAAATTATGATACATACTGTCAGGCAGCAATACCAGAAACTGCTCTCCTTTAAACACTCTTTTGCTTTGCAGCAAATCAAAACACAGCAAACCTTTTGCTCTCCTTTAGAATCCTATCATATTTAGAACAAAACTTAAAATATTTCATTACTTACACATTTAGAAATAAAAAATAAAGTCTACCTTATAAATCTATTATATAAAATTTTCAAGCCTGTTCCCCCGCCCCAACAATATTTCAAGTCTGCAGGATGTTTGCACACTTGATCTCAAAGCATAAAATAATCCATTTCTTGTATATTTTATTTTGATGTTTACCACAAATACTTTTTTCTCTCATTAACTAGTGTTTGGTTTTATTAAAGAAATATAGGGATATACCATTTTCTCCAACAATATCTTCACACAGTTTCAAGAGATTGCGAGAGCCAGCAACTGCCATGTGTAAATTTCCTACTCTTCGACCTAAAATTTAAAAATGCAGCATGACAAATTAAATAACAAATTTGAATAAAATAAGCTCAAATAATAAAAATAAAAATTAAATAATAAAAATAAACTAACATCCATATTCTTTGCATTAATGATTAGGCATTAAAAAATATCATGTCATCACATATCTATTGAATTTCATGACAGTTCTAACAGCTGAAAAAGGTGATGACAGGCAAGCATTTTTGAAGCGACGAAAAGTGTTGTGAATAAGTAGCTATAGTCATGATCAAGTGAATTTTCAAAAGATATCTATGCACTTCCAAAGTACTGAAATACATGTATTACACCTTATGGGGACTATGTTGGAAAATTATGTATGTGTAAGTTTTCTGTATTTCCTCACTTGCCTCATAATAAATAAATAAGATCTTCACTCTAATGACTGATGCAGGCCATTGCAGGCACACAGGAAAGCAAATAATTTCTGATTTGCTTAAATACTTTTGATCTGATCAAAAACAGAACAAGCCATAACGAGTGAAGATCCAAAAACATAAAAAGTTAGCCTATTCGCTTCGTTAAATTTTCAAAAAATGTAAAAGAAATACTGAATTTCTAAATTAATATTGAACTTTAATAATTATGAAATAACATATCTAACAACCCCTAAAGCATAGAAAAAGAGTTCCATAAGTAAAGAAAGTATTGCTGTAAAAGAAAAGAAGACATATTACTGAAAGTAAAAGAATTACAGCAATATTAAAAAAGTATTACTGTTACAGAAATAATGTTATGTATAACTTTGAAAGAAAGAATGTTAAGAAAAAGACTATTACTGTCACAGAAAATGCACAAAACTCTAATATGTTGGTTGGCATTCAAAAATACTACTTTTACAGGTATATAAGAAATGATAGCTGTACACTTTTCTAGAAAAAACTTACAATTAAAATAAATAAAATGATTAAGGATCAGAATCCAGAATAAATATCCACAAAGATATAAACTACAGTTTTATTGAGCTACAAAAAGAAAACAATTACACTCTCTAAATTTTCGTAACGAAATAGGAAATTTGATGTTAGTGGTACACTTATCTTTAATCATATCTCATTTCAAGAGATTAAATATAATTCAACTTATGTATTCTACTTCCATGTAATTATCATAAGCCCCATGACTGGCATAAACTTTTTAAAAGCATTGTTCTAAATATTTTAAAAACAGCAAAATATAGCAAGTATCAAAATATTGTTGAGATTTGGAAATGGCATACTTTCGTGTTATCCAAAATAGCAAAAAATATATGGCATAGTTACCAACCTTGAAATATGAAGACACAAGTATCACACCAAAAACTAGGAGGTTTTCATGTTGTGCTATGACACAATTTCAGAACTCCAAACTTATTTAATTTCTTTTATAATGCATGATTCAAGTTAATGAACTATTTATAATATGATTCTAACATGAAATATCCTAACAGTTAATTAGAAGTTCTAAATTTTCTGGTATTTGGGTAATTTAATTTTGAAATATTTTTATACTTTTATACTGAAAATATCCTTAGAAGGGAAAGAAAGCTTTTATTATCAAAATACTTTTAAACACATTGAAATTAAAATTTGTAATTAATGTACATACCATTGTGTGAATAAATTTAGCAATGTACATTATATTAATGTAAAACAAAATTCAACATGAATATTAGCTGATTAAATGTTGGTTGAATATTAATATAAAATTATACAAATATCTACAGTACAATAAGACAATTCAGATCAAAACAAATTTAAAAAGAAAAATTAAGCTGAAAAATCTTTTGAACTTTGCATAATTTAAATTTCATTTGGTGGTGGGAAACACTTTCCTAAGTAAAGGCTAAATTAAAAATTGTGAGATTCAATGATCAGTTAGGTGACTGGGAGATAAAAAGAAAAACCAGCAAAATTGACAGCAACAATGTAGGATTATAAAATATACACTACAAATGTTTAATGCAAAATCCTTTTTCATATGACACACACCAGGGTGGTATTATACTCTAGCATTAGTGATGTGACAATCCTTTAGAGGTACAATAATCCTTGAATGATTGTAAGTAACAGTGACACAAACAATTCTTCTCCAACAAACCCTCAGGGCAAACAGCAGGCATATGGGATGAGAATCATGTAGCTCGTCAATCAGAAATTATGGAATCAGAAAATTCAATCCTTGTCATCAACCTGCCTGATATAACTTTCGTGGAAGTATTTCGTGCAGCCAAATGAAGACTTCTAGCTCCCTGAGCAACTGGAAGAAGAGCCATACTTGGACTACATCATGGCAGTTCCACTCAGAATATTTTACATAAAAAAATATGATGTGAACACCATATAACTTCCTTTTATGCTTAATAAATTATACACACATTTTTCAGCATTTCATTTAAGCTTATTTACATGAATTATTCTAATTCAATACACCAATCTCTCAAGTCAAGTTGAAAATGACATCAAAAACTGAAAATTTTGAAATTAAATATCCAGGTCAATTTTTCTCGCATGGAAGTCAAACTTCTTGTATTTGCAGTCTTTCACAATGAAAACTTTCCCAAATACAAGTGCAGGAACCAGAAGACTGCAATAAAAGTCAGATTTGTTATTTGTCTAATTTGTTCTTTCTCAAATTACTTTTTTTTTAAATTTGAAATTCCCCAAACATAAATATTTTTGTCATTTAAACACTTCTGCAACTAGAAGTATATGTCTATGACCCATGATTTTGAAAATAAAGGCCAGTTAAGAACTTTTAAAAGCTGGGTAAAGAGGTGGGTATACATTTGGTACCGTCAGTTGCAGTTGGGGAAAAAAAAAAAAAAAAAAAAAAAAAAAAAAAAAGGTACATAATTAGTTGTTATAGCAGTCCCATATACAACATTTCAACATTTTATGACTAATTGTTCTTGAGTAATGCAAACTATATACATACATAGAGATGTTACAAAACAAGTCTATTTTGTATTTGTTTTGAAATAAAGAGGTCTTCATTCTGTACGTACATACACTGGTAAAAATAAATAAATAAATAAATAAATAATAATAAAAATCAAAATGGATATTTCCATTGAAATCTGAAATTTTTCATGATTACAATACAACAGAGTTCCGCAAACTTGATACAATGTGGAATGACAGACTGTTGAGTTTTACCGAATACGAGGTGGGTATTTCAGAACTCTTAATATTTAACTATAAGTTACTCAAGACAATTGTAGCACAATACTGGACACTGAAGCCTACAGCATACAATTAAATTAATGTTGATTTTTTTGTGGCCAGTTCTAGCATAATAGGCATTATTAAAATTTTAGGGCTTTCTCTCATAAAATTGGTCCTGAAATGGGTGCTCCCTTTGCTGCCTGAACCACAAATAATGCGCCTCGCTTACTTTCTCGTATTCACCACCTTTCATACATTTTCTTTCCTTCAGACTATTTGTATATGCTCTTTTCACACACCAAAACTCTACTTTTGACGTCTTCTTTTTCCATCCTATCATAGTAGTCTGTTCAATACCTAAATCCATGGTAATTTTGTTTACACTTTGCCCAGTCTCTTTAAGGCATCTAGTTTCATTTCCATTGCTATGCTAGTTTGTTTGTTTTTTTCTTTTCGAACAACATTTTCACTTCACAGAAAGTTCCCAAAAATATGTTAACACTTATACGCCTGGATGTGAACTGAGGAACAACACCTGCAATGAACTGTGTGAGTTTAGTTCAATAAGATGCAGTCACGAAATTTCAGACAAGTCTCCTAACATTTCGCAACAATAGAAAGGAATGTGAGTCAGTGATCAGCGGCTACCCGACTTTCTTCATATTCTCAAAAGAAGCAAACAGTGTTGCCAAGTATTACAACATGTCTTGAAATTTGTTAGGCAGTTCCAAAAATTAATGGCACAATACAAAAATGGCAAAAATTACAGAAAAAGCACACTCAAATCTTTGAACAGAACAAGAAAGACATTTTCATATATAATAATTATATGTACTGTATGTAATATTTGCTGTGTTTGGCCTAGAGATATCTTTAAAAAGTTCCTAAAAAGATGTTGAGTTATACGGAATGTCGAGCTATTGGGAGTGGAGTCTGCGGGACTTTAATGCACTTCCTTTACTTCACACAAGGTTATAAAAAAGAATGATCTATAAGCTTTTAATTTACAATTGACAAGAAATATCAATCTTAGAGAATTCACTTTAGAGTGTGAAGATTTCTAGTCTCCTAAAGTATAAGGACATTTGTCATTGAGATGATTAGAAAAAACTATCATCATTATTCCTTCAATATAAAACAGTGGATGAAAGAAACTTCATTTAGTCTGTAGACTTCTGACACTATATCAATCACAGATGATAAAACATTTGTAGTTTTCTTCATGACATGTTCCATACTGTCATTGATGATATCTTCAGTTCATGATTGGGATAATGCACATATTTTTTTATACTGTGAACAAGACTCTTGTACATTCCATTGTTTCTTGCGTTATATGTTGTCTTAAAACGTTTTCTGAAAGGTATCTTATTGTCCAAAATTTCTCATACCATGGCCTAATGCTAAAATTGCTCGAGCAAGCTCGCTAATGATAACAAAACTTATAAGATGTGATACACAAAATGCTTTTTGATATGACATCAACATTTTTCGTAACAATCAGGTAACAGAAAGAGGGAGGGACAATTGACAAACAATAAGAATCACTTCATTTATGAACGCTCTTCTGCAAAACCTTTTAGTCATGCTATCGATATAAAATTTGATAATTATTTTGGAACATGTTGTAATTAATTTTCCAGAAAACAGAAAATTTTGTTGCCACTTAGATAAAGCATATATAGTATGGAAAAAATTAGGATAATACTAGAAATTACTATTAAAGTACTTAAAAGAAAATGAATAGCACATTAAAAAATTCTAACCTCTTTTTCCTTCTTTTAATATCATGCCAGCATATGATGCGAAAGACATGATTTTAAGTTCAGGGAAATGCTGCCTGAAGTATTCTTGCCAAGCCAAAACTAAAGGTGCAGGAATTAAGTCTACTTTGTTCAAAACAAGAATCATATTTTTCTTCAAATCTTTTGTCACATAATTGTAAAGAGCTGGTGAAAAATGATAAACCTACATTAAAAAAACAAATATAATGTGTTTGTAAGACAGCAAAGTGAAATTTAAGCACACAAAATTAGACATGTTGTATATCAGATTTTAAAAACAGTTAATAAATAGCTCAAAATCTTCAATACATTTATAATAATATTAGAATTAAAGCATTTTTCTCTTTTCTCAGTTTTATAATATTTTCTTCATATTAATACTTCCTAATTTAGTAAAAAAATACATCAGATTTCTTGAATGTGAAATTTACATTTATGTTTTTACCTGTATGATAATTATGGGACAGTTTATGTAACATAAGAAGAAAAGCATGTACACAAACAACAAAATTCATTATTTTCTACAAAAGCAACTTTAATCTAAAATGATTTCTTAAATTGTAACAAGATAAAAACTAATATTTTTTAACAGCTTGGAAAAACTGCTTATATATATATTTTTTTTTTGGGGGGGGAAGAGGAATTAAACTAGTGGTGAAATTTCAGCCTGTTGCACCAGTTTGGGAGAACCACTCCATGAAATGCTTTTAGTTTGTTAAATCGGTTGTTAAAATTGTAATTGTTAGAGTATTTACTTAGACAGTTTATAAGGGTAGAACAATCTGAGTCACAAATAATCTGCTCTATTTATCCCAATCAATCATACAACATTTTCCACTCAATTCTACAAATTCTTGTTATAATAAGAATTTTGTAGAAACTCCATATTGTGCCACCTGATTTGTATTTACACCTGAACGCCAGTTTTTTTTGGTGGTAAACGGCAATAAAATAAATAATATATGCTTAATCCACTTGTAACAGGCACTCAGTCACTGAACTTCTCTCTTGGGACTGTACCCTAACAGGATGCACTGTCTTGTGGGGGTAGGCAATTCGTCCTCCAAAGCCTAACTTTGAGAAAAAATTTACATAAATTAACCGTTTGACTGCTATGCGGCGCAAAAGTGCTGCATTCATTTGTCTCAAAAACCACAACACAGTTAATTATTTTAGAATGCACTCGTGATACAAAGTACACGTAAGGTCAGACTACGTACGTTCACACCCACGGAGCAACAAAGACACACTGAAACTCGCAGCGCAATACAAATGAACACAGCGCTTTTGCACCACGTAGCAGTCAAACGGTTAAATTTGTCGTTTAATTGTTTCAATTTTCAGTACGTTATGAAAAGAGCATTCAGACAGTTACCAGAATTAAATTTTAAAACTTTATCATTACATTTTCTTTAAAATTTTATAAAAAAATCAATTCTAGAGTAATATAACTTTTGACTTACCTCAAATAATTATATATGGCAAAATTACCTAATTACAAATTTTATTTAATACAACACATCAATAAAAAAAAAAGATTATTAAAAATCTCTTTCACAAAAAATGAGCATGTACAATTTTTGATTTACCTGAAATATAAATAAACAAAAAAATATGCCCATATTAGAATTGTTATAACTATCAATTTCCAATTCTGCAAAATATCATCACTGTGAGAAAAAGTTATTTATCATTTGTGTATACACTTTTTCTATTAAATACTCTTTTTGAATTGAAATTTAGATGTAAAAAATATTTCACTAAATGTTAAAAAATATCTGTCTGAACCTAGAAAAAAGTCGAAGACCATTAAGTAAAATTTTTAAAAATATAGAACATCTATCCTGTTATACCAGGGAAAAAAAAAAAAAAAAAAAAAAAAAACACACACACACGTTTTCCAATGCATCTAGAACACTGACCCAGTTAAAGAGCCATTATATCATTCACCAGCTATGAATTTTGCTCTCGTTCCCAAGCAAAATACCAGAAATAAAAAACACTGCATAGGAATGAAGATCAATATACTTCAGTTTTGATAAATTTCACTATAACAGAATATAACAACAAAAGATATTAACTAAATGTTCTACCTATGTGGTACAACCAGCCACAAAGCAAATTAAAAGGAGCTCACATATGACACATTTGGCCATGAGATAACATTTGCTGCCAATGCACATATGACATGCTGACGATGTTGCAAATGGGTAAATATTATCAGCCATTTACATTTCACTTCTGAGTGATTTGACATTGGAGGTGCAGCACACTGGTTTGCCTAGGAGTCCATAACGCTCTTAAGATGGTCCTGAGCAAAACTGCTCATGATGGAAGACATATAAAGGAAATGCAATGTCAACAAAATTTTAGGATAAAAATTGAGAACTGGCTTGACAGAAGTCACTTGTTTGATTTAGCAGAGTTCTTACATAGGCAAAGACAGCTACAGAGAATAACAATCTGATGCAACTGCCAAAGAGTACCTTCATTGACTTATCATACAACCAACTTTTTTGATTTTGCTGACATCAAAAATATATTTTAATACCAACAGATTTTGCTGGCAGTGCACTGACTGGTACTCGTTAACACCTAAATACCCATTTCATGTAATCAAACAATGGGGGAAGGTATTGTGACTTGCAATCCTAAACTGTAATATTTTTTTTAATTGCTGTCAATTATAGCTAACTTGTAATATTTTTAAATAATTTGTTTGATAATGAAATGCATTTTAATAGAATTTAAAAAACTTCCCTATGCCGAGAAAACCAATTTTTTCAAATGATGACATTTAAATGTTTTTAATACCAATTTTTGAAACTACACTTAACTTTAAAGAAGTTTATTTCAGAACTACTTATCAGTGTCTCACAGTATGTAATGTATAGTATCTCATCAAATGTAGAAGCAATTTTTCTACTTCATGAAGAGAAAGTTTTATATTTGCTGCGTACAATAATTTTTTAAAAAATAAAAGATACATCCAACCATTTTTCTAGAATTTTGCCTAGTAGTGGCACATTTTTCTTCACATAACAAGAAATTCAACAACTTACGGAGAATCGAATGTCGATTACTAACAGTACAATGTCTGAAAATTCCAAAACTCTCCACAATTGACGCCAGGTTTCGAGATTCATTTCAAAGTGGCTCAATTCCTGCTCTTCAAACTTGGATTCTAAAGTGTCAATATATTCCTAAAATAAATTTTTAAAAAAATTTTAATAAATAAATATTATAGATGTTCTGCTTTTTGAAATTCAAATCACTAATTTCTCAATTAGAAAATCTTTATTCTTCACACAGCAATATAATATTTTTACAAACAAAACAGATTTTAAATAAATTAGATAGCCATTTCTGGCTTTTACACATATTCATATTTAAGATATATGATTCATCACAAGTGATAATCTGGTCCAGAATTTTGCCCATGCATTGATATTCGAGCAGATTAGTGCAGGCCCGAACACGCTCGTCCTTATCTGCTTTTAGGTTCAGTTGCAGCCTCCAGCTGTTGAACTTGTATGTCAAGTTTATGTGATGCACAGTACGACTAATGGGCATGGTACTAATGTCTACTCTTTAGCAAAGCTCTCGAGTGGTTGCATACTGATCTTCTTCCACAAAAAAGTTCTCCCAGGTAAACCTCAACAGTAGACCAGCCCGAGTGCTCTGCTTCATGAATGTTACAGTCCTTGTTTTTGAACTTTAGGCACCAAACCGTAACAGTATCATATAACACAACATTAGTACCTAAAGCTATACACATGATTTGGTGACATTCTGTAGCTGACTTTTTGCAACAGACTTGGAAGTAAATAATGGTTCTAGTCTGGTACCATAACAGTTCCATTTCAGACAAATTGCTCTTAACGATAATTTTTTTTATTTTTAATTTCACAATATAGTGTTCTAAAGCAAGTCTCTTTCAAATGCCAAAAATCATTTGACAAAATACAAATCAACATGCCAATGGGAACTGTTTGCATAGATGATATTTGCAGTGAGGGGAACTCTTGTTAAAACCCGATATATTACCACAATCAGCTTAGTAGAAACTGCCGCAGTTTATGAAAACACCAAACTCTGGCAACCACACGCATAATAATTAATTCTTCAGGCAATCATGTGCACAGCATGTATTATAACCAGCCAGTTTTAACAACCAACATCATTTATGTACGTATGGATGTTCGAACCAACGAATGGATTTCTTTTTCCTTTCTTTCCTTTTTTTTTTTTTTTTTGGGAGAGGTACTTCAAATTCTAATGGCTTTTATAGACAAATCATGATTATTTTTCATCTTGATTTTAAAATATGCACTTGTGTAATTTGGAAGCAATGGTAAAAAGTTGGATAAAATTTCTGCAACAATACAGTATTCTTCTGCAAAATCAGTAAAACAAGAATGCTTTAAATCTCTTTTCAAAGCGATTGTTGCAAAATTTCCACCAGAACAAAAGCCCACTTCTGAAAAATTTATTGATTAGCTTTGGGAATAAATACTGTTGAAATGTAAAACATATGTGTAATAATATGTATATTATATGTATTAAATAATTTTTTACAACAAAAATCATCACTTAACACCCCAATTTTGGCAAACTGCAATATAATGGCTGTACATAAGTACCAACTATTGTATTGTCAAAATTCCTTAATTTTTACTTTCTTACATATCTAACAGATAGCTTTGATGCATATATTGGGCCATATAAAAAATTTCCCGTGTTTTTATACATTTTTAACAACATTTTTCTTTATTGAAAATCAGTTTTAATCAAATACATATTGACCATTATTATCTATGACCTTTTGCAATTTTTTGAGTAGCTTCATAATTCTATTGGTGTAGAATTTCTGTGGTTTATCGTTGAAAAACTTGGCCAAGTGATTTTCAGCATTGCTTCGCTTGACCAATTTTTTACCACCAAGAGAATTCTTCAGAGACCGAAACAAATGGGAGTCAGATTGAACAAGGTCCAGGCTATATGGTGGATGCATCAAAACTTCCCAATCAAGTTCCATCAATTTTTTTTAAGTCATCAAAGATCAGTGTGGCCGTGCATTGTCATGATGGAACAGAACTCCCTTTCTGTTGGCCAATTCTGGTCGCTCTTTCTGGATTGCTTCTTTCAAACGGTCAAATTGTGCACAGTACATGGGAAAATTGATGGTTTTGCCAGGTTGCAGCTGTTAATAATGGAAATTCCTTTTCAGTTCCACCAAACACTCAACATAACCCTGTTTGGCGACAATCCAGGCTTTGAAGTCGTTTGTGGAGGTTCACCAGTCTTTGACAATGATCGCTTGTGTTTGAGATTCTTGTATTTCACCCATTTTTCATCACCAGTAATTATTTGCTTTAAAAATGGTTCGATTTTGTTGTGTTTCAGCAACACTTCACTGATGGTAAGTCGGTCAATCAAATTTCTTTGCATTAATTCATGTGGCACCCAAACATTGAGCTTCTTTTTGCAGCCTGCTCTTTTCAAATGATTCCAAACTGTCATGCGATTGATGTTTAGTGCCTCCACTATTTCCTGACATCTTGTGCTCCGGTCTTGCTCAACCAGTTGCAAAATTTCATCGAATTTTTCAGTGACTGGCTGACCAGAGTGAAATGCATCTTTGACTTCGAAATTTTCAGAATGGAATTGAGCATACGCCTGGGTTCTTTGCTCACTCACAACATTCCCACTGTACACTTCACAAATGTTTTGGCATGTGTTTGCAGCATTTCTACCTTTTTTATAGTAAAAAAGCATCTCATAGCATATTTCTTCAGAAAGTTCACTCATTTTCAAATCAATATAACTTTTTACATGAGCAATGAATTAGAAAATTATCTTCACAAACAATGGAAGTTGAATGTCACCTTTTAAGCACATGTTCGTTTGAGACAATCGGGTGAGTGTTGCCGGATATATAGGCATCAACACCAACTACTGGCTAAAAACCGCGGAGACTTTTTATATGACCCAATATTTGCTGCTAAATATCCTAAATTTGAATTTAAACATGCAGATTTAGTTTCAAATGCAGTCATTAATATTTTTAACAATATTTACTTTGAAAAAAAATTATGAATAAAAAAGAAAAAAAATATTTTTATCTGTAATAATTGGAATGCAGAAACTAAAAAAAAAAAAAATGAAGAATATACAATAAATGATTTCCTAAAACATGATTAGAAGGTTTAAACTGTTAGAACAGGGATTTTAGAATATAAATTTTATTTTAAACTTTATAAATAAACAAATTATTCCTTTGATTACAATATTAAAAAAATCAAATGTATTCAAATAAATAAGCAATAAACATCGTCATTAGTGATATATTGAATGGTGTAAAATAATTTTACAAAAAGGAAGGAATGAAGAAAGGAAGAATCTTACTTTAAAATACTTCTGTTCTCGATTTTCTAGTTGCTGTTTAGTTAAGGTATAGTCCCAACAAGGACGCTTTGGCATGTCAAGGTCTAAGCCAGAAGTGAAAACATCTTCATAACTAACTTCAAGACATTCCTGTAATATACAGATCATGAAAACTTAATTCATTCATAAAAAAGTTATATTCATTTATTATCACTTTTACACTTAATTGCTTGAAAATTAATTACCTCTGATAATGGTTCAAAAGGTTGTTTTGCCATAGCCAGTCTTTGTTTAACATCTTCATTCTTTTCTTTTTTGAATACAAGTCGATACCTATGTGAATTAAAAGATACATACATTTTGAAAAACAGCAGTACATAACATTTATTTTCAATAATTGGCATTAACTTTGAAAGAAACTTTGAAGAAAGGATTTCAAGAAAAAATATAATTAATTGATTGATAGGTTGATACAACTGGTTTTGAAAGCCTTTCAAGGAAAAAAAATATGATTCTTCTTCTTTTTCCCCTCCCCTCTCCTAAAGAAAAGCCTTATTTTTATCCCACACACTGGGCAACATGCTAAAACTGCAAAGCAATCATATGCAAATTATTCCCACAAGTTTCAAAAGAAAGAATATTCAGAAGTAATACATTAAAAGTTTCATACAGCTTGCAAAATATTACAGTAAGTAATATAATACTTACACAAAATATCAAAGCAAATTTTGAATGAAAAACAGTTAAACATTTTCATAAATGATAAATGGATCATAAATTTAGGATTATCATTAAATTGACAAATAATTCAACCTAAAAAATAATTGAAAAATTCAGTTTACAGCTACTACACATGACTGATTATCTAAATGATTAAATACCTCTTAATGACAGGTTAAATGCCCTCTTTCTCCATCATTAAAGTTTGCTAAATATATATAATATTCACTGAAATATATTTAAAACATATATCTTTTGTTTTGCCAGACAATAGTCAAACCAACTGGTGACAATCTATATAGAACTTAATGTCCTTTCACTTAGTCTCATTACATAAAATACTCCCAGCATGCACTGCACAAGATAAAATGGTAATTTGGGAAGAAAAACAAGCCAACGCAAAATTTTATATTAAGCAAAAGCAACAACCTTAGGTTGATACTAAACTTCCAAAGATTGCAAAAGGCAATACAAACAGTTTAGCCTTTATGCAAGAATCCAAGTCACACTTTTGATATCAGCTTGGTGGTAAGGCTCTGTGGTGACACCCACTAATGAAAAAAATTTTTTTTTTCAATGACGGGCACTTGCCTATAATGGCAATGGCCAATCCTATGGCCAGACATGGTGGCCATCTTATTGTGGAGACAACTAATAGGTGATCACCGTTACCTCTTATGAAGGAACAGACAATTTTACAGCCATGTATTCTCTGGGATTCGAACCCAGGCCCTTCGGTATCGCAGTCAGGCTCCCTCTAACCACTATACCGTCTGGGTGGCACTAACGAAATGTATAATCTATATATGGACAGGACTCGTAGACACAGAAGCTTGTTGTAATCCAGATTCTTATAGAGCAAATTGACAAATGGAACAATAATGAGAGTTCATGCAAGTAACATCAGGAAATTTAATCCAAAAGTACAGGCAGTTAAGTGTAATATGTGAGAATGAAGAAAAACGAGAAGTTTATCCCACACCTAGTGTGAAAAACAAGACAGATCACTTTGTGATCTTTGTGAAGCAGAATTAAACCATTTAGACTATGACAAAAGGAAAGACATGATAAATCTGCTGAGAAAATACAGACTTATTTATAAAGTACAAATTGAAAAAGTTGGAGAACATAAAATAAGATTAAATGACACTGAACAAAAGAAACCATACGTATATCGAATGGCTGAAACACTGAAGCCCCAAGCTGTCACACAAATTTAAAAAAAAAAAAAAAGTTAGCAATGGAACTTATCGAAGAAACCAATGAAGAAATTTTATACCCTATTCTCTATGTCATGAAAAAGATGCTACTCTTTGCCTTGGCATAGACTTTATATCTCTGAATTCAGCAAAGAAAGTGGATGATTTCCCTACAGAAAATCCTAAAGAACTCTTATTCCATATTGGGAAAGCCAATGTGACATCAAACTCCAATTTGCTCAAGGGATATTAGGCCACACCCTTGGAAAGCCAAGAGTTAGCATGTTTCAAGACACAATGAGCTCAGTGTCGATTTAAAGTCATGCCTTTCAAGCTATGCAATGCCACAGGAACATTATAGAGAGTGATGAACCAAGCACTCACTAAATACAAAGATTTTGCTCTGGCCTACATTGATTAGAGAGGATTTTATTGAGCGTGCTGGAGTGAACACTTAGTAGGTCTTGACACCATTTTTTTGAAATCCCCAGAACTAAAGTTTAAAGTAATTCTTAAGAAATGCTCTTTTGCTAAGACTCATATTAGGTATTTAGAACATAGCATCGGACTGATCAAGAGAAAGTGGAAGGCTATCCAGAAACTAACCAGGCCTCAAACGAAGAAGCAATTAAAAGGTGTTTTGTGTCTATGTAATTATTACAAAGATTGCATTCCACATTAGGCAGAAACAGCTTATCCATTAACAGAAAAGGAGAAAAAAAATCAAAAGGAGAGGTCCTGAGCAAAAAAACACAATGAGGCATTTGAGGAGCTAAAGACGTGTCTTATGCTGCTATCGCATACACTATTTGTTGTCGGAATATAACGTTAGAAGGAAGAATTCTGGGAACTGTGCTTCCGTGAAATCGAGTTACCATTTTCACTTGGTAAGTAGGCTAAAAGCCAAACAAGAATCAGTTATCGCTTAGATTGGCGAAAGTGACATTTCCTTTCAAGTGACAATTGCTTTTCTGTGTTGTATTTTGTATTGCTCAGACTCGTTTTGTTTTAAACGTTATTGTTATGGAAGATAATGGAAAGTTGATGGGTATTAAGTGAATCCCTTTTATCTCGACTCTGGAGATTCTAAAAGCTAAAAGAGAAGTCCGATTCTTTGTAATGATCCGTTGTATATATCTGATTTTATTATTGTAAATAGTTATTTTTGTATCCATATATTTATTTAATAACTTTTATGTGCATGATATACTGTCATTTACTGATATTTGTTTTGTGATGAGTCAAAAATTTTTATTTCATCCCCAAAATGTTAAATATTTCATAAAGCCTACTTGCGCAATTTTTTTGTTGTTTAAATTTCCAAGTATAGTTACAAATCCAAAGTTGTGTGTAAGTGGGTGAATTTTAATAACTAGCCTAATACACAAAATGCACTGCAATTATTTTTCAACTGTGTATTCCATATCCATGATACTGTACAAAGAACTGATGACTACAGTTGCTGCCAATTACATAATCATTATATGTATGAATTAGAAGTAACATCAAATAAACTTTTCGGCAATGTTCATTTTTGTATACATACATATATATATACATATATATATATACACACACATACATCTAATAAGTCATATATTTACATACACATAGAGAGAGAAAGAGAGAGAGATGCAATGGTTTAGAAGTATTAATGGAACGAATAAGATTTATATTAATGAATGTATATATAAATGTTTTTCATCATTCATAATAATAAATCTATAAATTTCCAATGTTTCAATATGTAGCATTTATAATAAAAATATAGTTCTTAATATGTTTATAATCTAAAAAGCATTTCATTAATAACTTGAAGATAATAGTATAAAAATTTAATGTGTATGCTCATTATTAAATAATTTATGTTTTAATAAATATACATAATTGCAGATTTTAACATAATCGCTAATTATGCAATTGCAATTTAAAAGTAATAAAAGTAATTAGCAGAAAAGTCACATATACATATTTTTAAAAAAAATTCCCCTTAAACTTAATAAAAAAAATTCTGTTATATAACAATAACATTCTTTTCACAGAATCAGCAAGAAATATGACAAATTTGGCGAACTTTTGGCACTGAATAATTTGTAAACAAATCAACAGATATAGCCCGTCATAAAATATTGTCTACTCTGAAATTTCCACGATTATAAATTTAATATATTGTTGCGTGCGTACGGGTTCGCTATGAAATGAATGCACAAGTCCGATGAAAAAGGAACAAAAATTTATTATTATCACAACAAAAATGCTTAAATTTTCTCAAATTATCATGCAGTATTACAATATCTCACAGTAGTTATCTTTTAACTACTCAAATATCCAACAGAACGCAATTCAAAACAGCTAAAGAACGCTAATCCGCGAATTCGCTACAATCAACAAGAGCAGTTTTTTAAACAACAAACAAACTAAGCAACTACCACAAACTGAGATGTTTTCCTCCTTTTATAAGATTTTAAAATCACGCGCTAGAATTTTCCAGTACTTTCTCGAAATCAAAAAGAGATATTTATTTATTTAACACACGCGCTCTTGTATTTTTAATTTTTTTCGGCTTAGCTTTCTTTTAATATTCGTCACGCGCTGCACTGCGCGAGAAATAAAACGATTTAATTTATAATTGAACTAACATTAGCTTTTTAAATACCAAATTCGTAACACTGCCCCCTTCCCAAGGACTGCACGTCCCGGGCAGTACAATCCCTGGACAGGAAGCTAAACTTACAACTGTGGCATAAATGCAACTGAGGCATAAACATTACATTACAATATCAAACAATATAACAATATAAATGCAATAACTAACTTAAACAAAAATCAAATGCTATCAAATACTAAATACAAAACAAATACTAAATTACAAATCAAATACTAAATACAAATCAAAACAATCAAAAATACACATTTATAAAGAAAAAGGACCATGGTCTGATACTATTTACAATTATTTACATTACGTACTATGGCCATAGTAATGAGCTAACCTGTCGTAATGAACGACTTTAGAGTTCGAAGACTTACGAATCCGAACCACGACGTCATTCAGCCTTTTCAGGACTGTATACGGGCCATCCCAAGGTGACTGTAATTTCGGACAAAGTCCTTTCCGCCGAGTCGGATTCCACAACCACACCTTGTCTCCTTCGTGGAACTGATGTTCAGTAGCTCTTGTGTCGTAGCGGGTCTTCATCTTCTCCGTCGCCAAGTTGACCCGCTCTCGTGCAAAGTTGTGCATCACTTCAAACTGGGCCTGGAGATCTTGAATATATTCCTCAGACGATGAAGGAGCATCCGGAGGGTGGCCAAACAATAGATCACAAGGCAGACAAAGGTCACGACCGAAGAGCATCTGTGATGGAGAATAGCCGGTAGTCTCGTGGACAGCACTGCGGTAAGCCAGTAAAA